TTATACGGCTGTACATTATTTCTGTGTAGCACTATGGCCACATTATAGTTCTTTATTTGTAATCGACCAGAATCACCACTGTTTCAGGAGGCAGAGCGTAGATCTCGTGCTTTCTTTGTACACTCTTGTTTCTGTAACAGGAGAACTAGTGTCGGTGCTGGACACCGTCGCATCCACCTGGACCGGATTGCACTCTAATATCGGATCAGACATCGTATCAGTGGCGACGGCTGCGAGGTCACCTTGGCAGGGAGTCCTTACCACGTTGCTCTCGGTTTGAGTTTTGTCGCCAGTTAACAACTTCCGAGGTTCAGCGATGATACCCATGTGAACATTCAGGAAGTCAAGTTAGGCGAACAAACGTTTTCGATTAATTCATTATCAGGCAATTCAGTAATGTAAGGGAAGTAGAGTTAACGAAAGTTTAAGAAACCAATCAGAAGTAATTAGGGGGAGGGGAGGGGTGTAAAGGGATCAATGGTCCTCACTGGTCCCCAATTAAAACTAGAGTCTGACCACTTTGATCCCTTTACACCTCCTCCCCCCTATCCACCCTAATTACTTCTGATTGGTTGCTTAAACCTTCGTTAAATCTACCCTCCCTTTTATTATTTTATTGCCTGATGATGAATTAATCGAAAATGTTCGTTCGCCTAACTTGACTTCCCGAACTTCCGAAGTCACAACTTTTAGAGACGGCGGCAAGCACGGTAGGTTTATTGTGACGCATAGTCGCACGGGATGAAGCTCTATCACCTTCCCATTGAGCGTCAATGGCACGACTAATTCAAACCACGTGGAGATTAGCATGAGCCCTAGTGGCTAGCCAGTTATTCCACGCTTACGCTTGGTACCCGTCTATGCCTGAGTAACAGTACTATCCATTTTCGGGCCCATAAAAGCAAAACGCTTGGGAAGTATCCGAAATACGGGGTTTAGTTGGCATAAGCGCCTGTCCGAGTAGTCACGCAAACTACGGAAATGTGCTTTGGTAAACTTTAAATGGAGTTATTAACGCGAGGAGATAAAATAGGTTTGCCACTGGTTTTGCCGATAAGTTATGCGGCCACTAATGTAGAAGATTACAAATACCCCTTTTAGGAATAACGAGATTAGTGTTTTCTTTCGGCCACACTTTCGAATCCTTCCTAAACTTTAATAAATGCCTCGTCTGGAAAGACGCTCTGCAGACCTTTCTAATACGCAACATGTTCAACAAATAGACGCGCACTGTTGGCAGTTCTTCATTTGATCATGCTGGTCAACGCGCTGTAGGAACTTTCGACACCGAATGTTTATGGTAATTAGTTCATGTGCCTCTTTAGTTCTTAGAGACGCAGTTTCAGATGTATAGAACAGCACTGATCAGATACAAGTATTCTACATTCAAACGTGGCGAAAAGGTACACAAGTTACCAATCACTCGCCTATGTTTGAGATATTTTACTCCATAAGTAGCCTTTCTTCATCCAAGAAATAGGGGCTGTGAATTCCTTGATCTAGTACACAAACACCGTTTGTTTTATCAGGACTCATAAAATACCAAATTTAATCAATTGACAAGTAAAGCGTGTTCACTTTTTGTTTTCTTTTTAGCCATCCCGGATTTTACTCACATTCCTGTCCTCCGTCACCTGGGAGCAACAACCCTTTAAGACAACCGTTCTACTCCGAACACATTCCATCGACAACAACTGGCTTTATTATTATTCTATTTTTATCTGATTTGCAACAGATTTCTGTCTAACCTTGTGTTCTCATTATGATGACTTCAGTTAGATCCTTTGAATGCCTATCTTCATATTCAGTATAGCTACCTTTAAGGCTTTTTACTCCAAATCTGCTACTACCTTTCCTGTGCAAACTGCGCGGGGACTGTAACGCTATTAAGTGACTAAGGTGAAGGTCATCGAAGCTCAGGTAGTGCTAGTGGGTGGAGAGCGCCGTCCAAACTGTCCCACATGTTTTTGGCTTGTCGACGACGATTCCACAGGACTGATAGTCCACTCATAACGGGCAGCGTGTCGAAGGGAATGAAATGTTGTGGCAAGATCGGCCTTATTTACCACTTGATTTCATCGCCTTTCCTTCAGTTGATTTCAGATTCATCGAAAGTCTCGAAGTAATCATACTGCGTCAGTTCATTTCTCCCTTGCGAGCCTCACTCGCCTGTCAGTAGTGCGCATCTGCGTCACGTGCCCACCCAGTCCCTCATCAGCCCGGATTGATGAGGCGTCCACTTAGTAATGAGCAACGCAGACGGGCTGGATCAGGGCACGGCAGGCATTATTCGAGTTGCGCTCCCATGACAAATATCAAATATGAACGGAGGGGTGTTGGTAGCACGCATAGATGCCGGCTCGCGCATCAGCCACCCATTACCTTTATGGTACTCCCACTCCATTGGGATCAGGGTCGGGG